AAAAAAAAAAAAAAAAAAAAAAAGAGGGGCAAGGAGAAGATATTCTTGAATCAAGCCTGTGACTACCACAGGAGTAACCAAACTGAAGCAATGAGATATCCTATGATCTTTTCCCTTCTTTTTTCTTCTTGCTTCAGACCTCCATAGGTGGTTGGGAAGGAAGGCATAGAGGCAATTTCACAGCAGTTGCTTCCTATATCCACCAGATGCAGAAAATGAAACCAAAGTGAAGAGGTAATCCTGTTCTCTTATACATGGCTGCCTTGCGCAAGGTGCAAGTCTGTTCTTCTGAGGTCCTCCCATCTCCTACCCAGTTGGTTTCTGGCTCCAAATAACACCCCAGCACTGGAGGCAGAGCACTCACATGTCCATATTTCTGACTGTATAATTGTACTGTATGCAGATTACAGATCACAGAGCAATGTATTCCCAAGGTTTTACTCTGCAAAATTAAAATTGACACCAGCTCTTTCTCCTCTTCCTTAGCTACCCTTGGGCACAGCCGGCCAGAGTATGCTGTAGTCCAGCAGTGGGTAATAGCTTGATAGATCTCTGGGACTTCTTCCTTACATATAAAGATGAATTTGTTAAAGTTGCATTAGACATGCAGCTTTTGAGGATTTCATTCCCGATTCCTTTGATGAGACTCATACCCTTTCTGGTCTAAACAAGAAACTTCCAAAGAATTGTTACATTTATAGTGAAGTCAATGAGAATCCAGTTTTTGAATTCAAGATAAACCTATGAGGTCCTTCAGTCTTAGATGCAGTGGAGTTCTTCCCACACAAGGTAATTTCTAAATTCATGCAACCCTACTTGTCCATGTCTCGGTGGAGAGGGCACACTGAGAGTGGGAAAAGCCACAGTCAAAGCTGACTGCATCCTGTCTTCTGGGTGGGGGACCAGCACTGGCATCACTTAGAGCAATTCTGTCGTTCATATAAACTCAGTAAGCCCACCTGACAGCTCCATCTACACCGCAATCAAGAAGTAGGAGCCAATGCTCTAGTAGAGGCGTAGCATATCACAAAGACTAGCAGTTACAAAAGGTTATATTATCTGTGAAGATGCAGTAACAGTGATTCCAGTTTGGACTAACTATACAAGTAGGTTACTGGGCACACTGAAGGCTCTGCTATTCCATCTCCATTGCTTTTATGTTATAACCACATCTGCCAGCAGCACTGCTGACCCTTAGGATTTACTGAACTTTCCCACAGATGGCTGGGCATTCCCCAAGTCTGAGACCACCTCCCTCAGCATGCTGCAAGATCAAGCTTTCAAACCACTAAAATGGCAGACAACTGAAAATGCAACCCACACAGAGCTACTCCTGCTATCCGTGCACATTTTGCTCTTCAGTTGAACTAGAACCAGCTCCAGCCTTAATCAGTCACATCTTCCATTGAAGGACAGCTGGTACACGCTTAATAAAAGTCTGCATAAAGTATTGCAGTTATGGCAATTACTGTAAATTTTCAGCCATATTTTTTCATTATTTTCACTGACTTGCATAACTAATCAGTTGCTAATGAAGCTAAGCTAACCGTCCTTCAGAAAAACAATTTTTAAAATATTTCACAAGGCTAAACAACTGTGATGACTTACCAGAAAAGCCATACACCATACATGACTTCCTATATCACAGCTTCCCCCAGAATAAACCACCTTTTCTTTTAGGATATATGTCATATTTGGATCTATCTTGCTTGGGTTATCTGACACATAGCAGTCATCCAAGTGGTAATTCAATACTCACTTCTACTGTTCAGAGACTCTAAAGGAATTTCCTCATTATAGCTCAGAAATTGAAAATAAAAACCCCCAAAGTTTCCAGAGTAAGGGCCTGATATACCAAGCTACCTCCATGCACTGAGAGATCAGAAGAAGAAAAGTATACAAAAAAATGTGAGTCTTTTAAAAGCTAACCTAGTGAGTGGGTATAGTGGCCCCAGCTTATGTGGTATTAGGTGCTTTGTAGATGAGTCCCCCTGAAACTAGCCTTTTAATGGGCACATGTCTGGCAGTAACTGAAAGGGAAGGAGTGGGTACAAGGCCAGAGCCTCTCTCCATCTGTGAGAGGCAAGTGAAGGATTTCCCCTAGTGCTTGCTATTCCTATCCTCCTTACAAGAGCTGCCCAGTTTCTGTGACTGTTGAAAGGGTGGAAATGTGCCAGAGCAGTTATAAGAAAGCTACCAAAGGACTAATATTTAGCACTGAAAGTTTGCAAAGAAAATTATCAGATCTGTTTGAGCCTGGTAGAAAGGAGGAAAAACTGAGGTCTTGAGACTTCCCTCTGTAAAATGTAATGGTGAGCTCCCAGCTCTGAAAGGCAATACCTGGTGACAGAAATGAGCAGCAGGAAGGTTCCAAAGGAGGCCATAAAGTTACGAGTAAACCTGACAGTTTCCCACACAGCCCTTGTAGCTCAGAGCCTGACAAATATTGCCCCACAGGGAACAAACTAGGAGAGAGGTCTGCAGAGTGGGATGTTACAGCGATCACGGTGATGACCTGCAAACTTTATAGACGAACAAAACTGTTTCCAAACTCTTATGTGCCCCCAATAGTGAAAAATTATATCAAAAACTCCACAGTACTGAGGATGACTTATAAGGCCTAAGATCATTCTGCTACTCTTAGCTGTAAGGGCTCATGATGGCTTTGCAGATCACAATCTGGGAGCCCCAGGTCCTCACTCTGGAGAGCAGGACATGCACTTATTTCCCAGGCATGAGAAATTAAGAAGATACTGAACTGATGTTATTCTAAGAAATTAAGCCAAACCCTTCAAGCAATAAGGGACCTCTTTTTCTTTCCAAAGAGGGAAAGGAATACCAGGTTAATGTTTGATCCACAACACTTATTTTCCCCAGCTGAAAAGCCATGCAGAGGTGCACCAGAGGGCTACTCATGTTTGCTGCTTTTCTCTGCAACAGGCTTGGAGAAAAGGGGAGTTTTTCACATACCCTTCTGATCACTGCGTGGAGCAAGGAAAGACTATAACTTCAGGGACTTCTGACCAGGAGCTGGGAATGCAACAACACACAACAGATTGCCAAAAGGAACTGCAAGCAACCACACTCATCCTGGACAGCATCCCAAGAGCTGGGTAACCACAAAGTTAATGAGAGAAAATACATGAGAAAATTTCTGCAATCCTGAGAGGGCTCTTTCACTGATTACCTCACAGGGGAGAGCAGCCAGACATTCCCAGCCAGGTCTACAATATAAAACCACATAAGTTCATCATGTGGCCTTCCCAGAGGCAGATCTGAATTTTCCACAGCAGGCACCTAACCAAGCCACAGCCAACTGAATGAAGAACTGAGTTTTGATCTCATGGTGCGACTCTGCAGCAAAGGGCTCTCATCTATATTTTTCATCTTACCAGTACAAAAGACTCCTACTGAGACCTACCCAGAAAAGGCCCACCAGACTACCCAACTCAATTCCAATCACAGGCACCATTCCCGTGTCGAGGGGAGATACAGATTTAAAGAAACCTGATGTATTTCCTAGAGACATTCTCTGCTGACCTCTCAAAAAAAAAGTTGCTCAGAATATTTTTTAAAAAACATTTTTTACTCTAGTGTAAACTATGACTTACTATCAGCTTTGTAAGTCTGCACACAACGGGTGGACTTAGCAAAGACGCCCCAACACAGGTCAACAGAGGGTCAGATCAATGTGGCAACATTTCAGATTCCAGATCATATAATTTGGTAACGTTTTGTAGTTGCACATAAAAGCTAACAGTCCAAAGCACTATTGAAAATACTTTTTTTTCTCAACTTAATCCATTATGATTTATGCCAGTAGCAAAGAAATCACGTGTCTTCTGGAAACTTTCTGCCTTCTTGCCTCTTACACATTCAGTATTTCGACTTACATTGTCACCTTCGCTCCTCAGTTTCCAGAACGGCTGGATATAAAACCAGGACCCCTCGTTCCCTGCAGCATCCAGAGACACCCGCATAGCATTCTTCTCTAGCAGAGCTGGCAATCTCTTATTGACTGTGAGGTACTTGTTACTTTTTATGTGAAGTAGCTGTGAACAAATAATAATTAAAAAAATTAGTACAGCTGTTGCCTTTTCTCCCTTCAGTCAAAAGAGGAGGCAGAGGCTTTCACACTGTAGTGATTTTTCATAACGTCCATAAAGACACAATAAAACTACAGGAGAGTTATCAAAGTATACTGCAGTTTAGGAACACAGATGCTATATCTCAGATCGAGAGAAATGTGTCAGCGATCAATTTTACATCATATTCTACACAGGTAGGGCAAGGGCCCATGAATAGTGTTACCTTCAGGAATCTCATCCATTACAGGAAAGTTGTACTACACTTAAGAACACACCTTCTGTCTCATTTATATGTCATGAAATACAAATTACTTCAGTAATTTAAAAGGAGCTGCGCAGCACCTCTATAATATGATTTGGAAATAAATCTTGAAAATAAAACATACATATTTACATTCAGATCCCAAACTACAGCAGCAAAAATTACACACAAAATTTATATTACGACATATTATTTAAACATGAATATGCAGCACTTCTGTAGGCTTTAAAATAGACAGAAAAACACAATATTGGAAACTTCACCAAGTTCTGTTTACCTGACCCTTGACAATCCTACAGCGGTTAGTTTCATTTTCACTGTAACCTTGAAATGAAACAACTGTTTCCTTTCCAGCTCTGAGAGAAGGCAGATGGATTTCAATAGGTTTACCTGTATGACATTGCTATATTTTACAATTTCGCCCAACAGCTTTCTGTTCTCGCTCTCGTTCTGCTTTTGTTCCAGTTCTGCTGCATGCTGCAAGAGAATGCATATTTCTTTAAACTCCACAAAATCAGTACCTGTATTCAGCTACTGGAACAGATAGTGTAAAAAGGAAATTGGCATCACATCTAAAATGCTTCCTCCAACCTGCAAGCATTACTGCCCTGAAAATATTAGCACCCGAATCCTGCTGCAGCATAATTTTCTGAACTATAATCATCCAAACCCTCTGTAATGATTCTGGTTTTTCATTACCCGGAATAGAAACTCAGGCACAATTTATGGATCACACCTCAGATGCATGCTATTTTAAAAATTTTCAAGCACTAAAAGTAATTCCAGGTGCTTTGTTTCATCCTGAAAGAGGAAAAAATAGGGCCTATGATTAGCTTCTCCCTGTCACTGTTCCTTTTACTTGCTGGGTTTTTAATTGCATACAAATACATTGACTTTATATATAACGAAACTGGTAGGTCGGACGTTGCAAAATCAAGGCTAAGCACAATAGTCTGGGTCAAGTACAGCCACAGAACAAACTGTCAGCTCCTAGCTCTAATTGCTGTGTAGCTAGCTCTAGCCACCCACCATGTGCCTGCTGTTTTTAACTGGAAGCACTGGCAGCCTCTCCACTGCACATGAAACTATCAACCAGGTTTGATATGACCTTGTGTTCACTTAGTCTCATGCATTCGATCATAACATCAGGCCAGCTCTTTTTCAGAGACAAAGTAGTTGCTCCACCCATACTATTTGATGCAAAATAGAATCTGCCCAACGGTTCAGAGAAGAACCACCTAGCCTGAAAGCAAAGACAACTGTAATTCTGAGGAATTTCCAGACTGAAGTGTCGAGAACATCTCTTTGTCCACCCCTCTGTCTAGCTTCTGGAAAGGACTTCTAAAATAATCGCATGATTTAAACCAGGGTCCACTCCTGATTTTAACAACTCCATTTTTACATTATAAAACTTCTGAAGGCAATGTTTTGCTTATAGCAAAGGCACAACCCCCAGCCCAAAGTAAGACAAAAAACAGGGCAGGGGCAATAAATGCCAGTCAGGAGGTAGGAGAGCTAAGGAGAACATATAAAGTTAGCTAGGTGGCATAACAATACCCATCACGGTGGTTCCCAAGGCACTTGTTATTATACTTTCTCATTCTATTGTAATTCTACAGCCTGCAGATTGAGATAAGATTACAAATACAGATGTCTCTTACTTGGAGTTTCTTCAACAGTGCTGCTTCTGTATGGTTTCCTTGTTTGGCTTGCTTGGCTTTCCAATACTGCTTCTGGGCTGAATACCGGTTCATAGGACACACCTTGAAAAGGCAGTCTGTGAAAGATTGAAAGAAATATTCCTAACTAACGTTGAAAGACACTTCCTTCATTTGTAAGTTTGCTTTCGTTGGTTTTCTTTTTCCAGAAATGCCTAGATACCAGTGTTTAAACATAGTCACCAAACAGCATGATGGCAATGATACCATACACAAGGTGGCAGAACATGAGTTGAACCTAAAGCCTTCAATGCCCTACACGTGCCTACTCCAGACAACCTCTCTGCAACCTTTTTAAGGGTCCCAGGCTGTGAGCCTGCCATATGCAAAACTGCCTGCTGCTTCATTAGCACTCTGTGCTGCAGCACAATGTTACATATGCACTGTTTGAAGGCACGTGAAACCTTGAAAACACAGTCCTCCTTTCTGTATGCCATACAACTGGCTGCCTGCTCCTTCTGGTGTGCTGAAACAAAGGACTGGACGGGCATTCAGCTGCAGGCCACCAAGGAAGTTAACGTGGTGTTTGGGTCCACATTCGCCTTCATTAAGAATGATTTAAAAAAAAACTAACAGTAAAAACAACAGTGGCACAAACTGAACACCACCGCTGTCCAACAGACCAGGGGTGAACTGGGTAAAGAGGGAGGGAAAGCCACCCAAAAGGAATCCCCCGAGCGGAGTGGTTGTGCAAATGATAACAGGGGAGGAGGTACACCGTGAGGAGACTGCAGCCAACGGGAGAGGCACTGAGTAAGAAACAAGGAGCAACAAAGGAAAGCGAGTTACAACACACCAATCCCCATCCCCTCCCTGCAGGGACCACATGCAGCATGCAGTGAGGGTGCTGGGAACCAGGAAGGGTGAGAGATCTGTCTGGAGGAAAGCCAAGAAGTGGTTCCCTAAGTGCTTGTTCAATTGTTCAACTTTATTTCCCTATACAATTGAAATATAATGTTAACTGGTAATAAACTAAATTTTGTTAAATTCCCTGGCTCAAGGCTTTTTGGGGTTTTTTTGGACCACTGACAGTCCTATAAACTGGAAACAGAGGCTCACAATTCATCCAAAACCAACTACTTTTAGAGTGATAAATGATACCTAGTCTTGCAGGGTCCCAATCATCAACTGCTCTAAAAGTTAGGCCTGAAATGCATTTTACTTAGCAAATATTGGTAATTGCCCTGTCACACCTCACTTGTATCAACTGGCAAGAAGAAGGGACAGGAAAGTATTAATTACTGATCAGAGTTTTGCTGTGAGACTAGTAAGAACACACAGGTTTGCATGTGTATTGTAGCGTGAAATTTCCCCAACAGACGCTGCATTTCATAGATGTCAAAGGAAGGTCTGTTCCAAACTCTTATCCCTCCATATTTAACTGTTACAGATGGCCAAGCACTCTGAGGACTAATCCACCCCAAGAGGAGAAAGACTTCTGAAGAACTCCCTCCCTGCTCCATGTCAGGGTCTCAGGAAGGTAATGACAAGAGGAAAACAACTATTCCTACCTGACTCCCAGGCACCCAACCATGGCACAACCTAGAGAGAGGCAATAGAGGCAATGTACCCTACTTAGAAGGGGGTTTGCCCCAGGGCTGGATTAAGAACAAAAAAGTTCCTCTTCTGATCTCACAAGCACATCTTGCAGGTGCTGACATCCCAGTTTGGCCAGAATCAGCAACATCACTTCTCTGCTGGTTATCAGGCAACCTTCCCACAAAGAAGAGATTTTACAACACCACTGGAAGGCCACAATGCACAGAGTATGGCACAGACAGTGCTCCTCACAAAAATACAGAAAAGAAAAAGAAAAAGAGGAGAACAAACACACCAGCTCCACGTCAGCAACATGAAGTGCTTATTTACCACTGCACTCAACACAGTTATTTGCATACACATCATATAGCACAGAATGATTTGAAAACAGTCCTCTCTGCCCTCAGCTCTCCTGCTGCCTTCTCCAAAGACAGTCACTTTCCAACAGCACTATATAGTCACTCTTACTTCTGTTATCAAAGGTGCTTCAATATGAAATAGCAACGGAAATATCAACACTAAGTAGACATTCCAGTTACACCAGTAACACCAGATCACCAGTAGGTGATCCTATTGAATTCAGCAATCTTGCATGTCTTTTTTAAATACAGTGTAATCTCATCATTCACCCATTACCGTCACAAAAACGTTAGCAGGGGAAGCTATAGGGAACTATCCCAAAGCCATGGTCTGGGTTTTTAACCACTGAGTCAGGTCAGCAGCAGACAGTTCCTATTTTACAGTGCTGTCCTACCCGCTATCTAATTCCCAGAGCAAGTTTAACATCTGCAGTTGCTAACTACCTAGGACTTGTTCCAGGTCTCCAGTCCACAACAGCACATATGGGAAGTCCCATCTATCATATACGTGATGAGAAAGGTTTTCTAACTGTTCCACCCTTATGAGTAGAAATTCAAGTGCCAAGCTCACAACCTCTCCAAAGAAGATGTTGGATACCAAGGCAGATCTTATTCTCATTTTCAGCACTGTCAATCCAATGTAATTACTCTTTCGCCCTGGGAGGAAGAGGAGGAGATTTAGGTCCTCTGAGATATACCCTCCATATATCCTCCAACATACCCACGTCTTCACAGTCTGTGAGGAGTTACTGAAATCATGTTATAACAGAAACATCTCCCATAACACAACAGGAGAGGGAAGGGGCAATGTAGTGTGAAGACTGGCCTTGCCTTTCCTAAGGAAAAATGAGCTCATTACTTAAAATAAAACAGGCAGCACTCTCAACTACAATCAGGCCCAGCTAAGCACAGTTATCTGATGTTAGTGCTGCCAAAACCACCAGAGTAAGACTGTGCCACATGTTCTTCCCACCGTCTGCGCCCCCAGAGTGAGCAGTTTGTGACACCGCTGTCTCTTAAGCCACGAGCTAAGCTGCAATGCTTTTAGTTCTGCAAATACGCCATTTGGCCTCTCATATATTGGCCAACATTATACCAAGCTTTTCAAGCAATTGCATTGCCTTTCCCCTTCATAGCAATTGATCTTCCTCTACTATTCATAGCGGCAAAGCGCGTTCATACAAAACCACCACCGGTGGTAGAACTTCCCTTGGCACTGATGCAAAGTCCTCACCGATTTGCTCCCTAACCACAGCCCTGAGTTGCTGTTCCTATGAGAAAGTGTTACAAATCTTTATCAAAGCAAACCCAGCCACCTTGCAAAGGTGTTTACTTTCATTTCAAAGGGGAACATTTACAATGAGAACTATATCATACAACCTAGAGTACATAACTCTCAGGTAACTTTTACAATATCCTGGACACGAAGAAGGAAAAGAAAAAAAAAAAACAATTACAAAACACTGTGTACTGTTAAATCACACTGTATGCTGTAGGAGATTTTAACTTTGAGAATCAGAATTTCAGCTCATAAAACAAGGGTATTATTTTCTGTAACAATCTATAATTAACATGCCTTCTCAGAAGACTTCATGAAACACTTAGTTCTCTGAAGTAACAATACCTTCTTTTTATAGGACCAGTCTTCATTTCTCAGTTACTCCCCACACATCCTGCTACTTGAGTAAACACAACGCTTCCCATCCTCATGCAGAGTCTCAAAGCACACTGCTACCACACAGCAGAGAAATGCAAGATGAACACAGATGTGCAGTCACTACTGCGTGGGTTTGCCTCCCAAAGGTGGGTGAATTTTTCCTAATGATAGTTCACAAAGAAAAGTAGAGCGCACGCTAGATAACCTCAGACACCACACCAGCTCTGTGTGTAGCCATGCTGCACAACACAGCTCTCCTGACTTACATTCTAGTAATTTAGAAGCTGAACTACCAAGAATTTTTTTTAAAATTAGTATTATTTCAATTGTATTTTCCTCAATTCAGACTAAAAAAATTCATATTCTTTTTTCCAGACAAGCTTTTCCCTATTTTATTTTTTTTAAGATTCCAGATATATTAAAAATAGGTCATCTCATTATTTTTTTTCTGGGTTTTTTTTCCACTTACTTTTATTAGAGTAACAATAGAATACTACATAAATTCAAGCTAGCTTTGTGGTCCTAAACATTTGGGGGGGGAGGAGGTGCAGGGGAGAAGGTAGTGCCTGTCCTAGAGAAGTTATAGTTTAAATAAACACGGAAAGAGGGAAACTGAGGCATAAAATTATAAAACAACTTTCCAGCACACACAGTAGATCAAAAGCTCAGCCCTCCTGGAGGTCAGTCTAGCAAGCCACTCATGAGACAGACCGTCTCTTCTAACTTCTCGGGGCATTCTCGGATAGTCCTAGTTCCTAACTCATTACTTTACAGAGTTTTACATAAATGCTTCTCTTCCCAAGGACACTAATTAAGTAGGCACTATCAAAGGTAAACAAATAGCTTTAAAGCAAATAGCTTAAAAGTATCAACCAGTTTCACTTGCTAAACTTTCATGCATTCAACTTCTGCAGTTTCATCAATTTTCTCATACCCACAAAATCTTCCAGGCAAAATTTCAATTGACTTGTACACGAAGTGAAGATGGAGAAAATGAGAAACATTGCCCACCCTAGCCCACACACACATTTTTAGAACAATAAAAATCACTTCAAATTTCTTTACAAAATGGAAAAAAAGAAGCAGCTCTCCCTGGTCACACTCCAGGCTTAACCTCCTACACTACACCTTGGCTTATTAGAAAGAAAATATGACAAATCATTGGTGCTGAGACACCTACCAATTACTTGTTTTATGGGGGGGAAAAAATACGTTCATTAATCAGAACAATCAAAAGATAGAAAGCAGCAACTTCCAGAGTGTGGGAGATGATCCACAGAGGACACACTCGGCACCAAACTGACCATCTGCCTGAGCCTGCGAACGCTCACAAAATACCAGTCTTCAAAAGGCAATAGTGGGTGGAACAACCACACACAGCACATCCTCTGAGCAAAAAGCAACTACATTCAGGAAGTTTGAAAAGGAAAATAACTCATATCATGCCTTTTAAATGTTTCTTGATATTGGATAAAGATGGCATAGAACAGTGCTTGTCAGATGCTTTCTCTTCTGCCCCTTTTTTTTTTTAAAGTATTAGAAATTCAACTCTTGCCCATCATGTAAGATTTACATGATTCGCAGAACTTGAGAAATTATCACACGTCTTTACTTAAATCAGCAGGCTGACAAACGGGTAAGTGGAAGTGATAGGGCTGTTAAATCACAGCGTGTACAAATCTATGTTTTGAAAAAAAATACAGAAAGGTAAAAAAAGAGCTGAAGTGAGAATGGAAAGGGAGGAATGTGAGAGAGCAAGGAGTGGGGCAAAGGAGAGTCCTAAGGAGAACAACAGAAAAAACTATGAGAGTCTTAGAATACAATGAAAGCAATTATGGAACTGAGAGAAACAAGAAGAAAACACAAGGCAAACAAAAATGATGTAGAAGGCAGCAAGTAAAAAGGAAAATGGCAGATGGCAGAGGAAAGGGGAGGAGGAGGAAAGGAGAGCACGCAGAGGAACGTAATGGGAGAGAAGAGGAAAGAACAATGTCAGAAAAAGCTTAGAATAGACTACAAATTTAGAGAAATGCAAGAGGAGGATATCTAGGAATTCAAACATCATTGCAAATGTCTCGAGAAAAAGGGGTACAAAAAGTTGGGAACTTCAGATCAGTTTAAGAACTTAGGTCATTTTACATTTAAAATAGAAGAGAGAGTTGTCCTCCTTTTTTCAGAGTTGCTAAATTTGACCAACAAGCAGGTCTTATCTGTGCTATTTTACACCTCAGAAGCTGAAAGTGTTTCCCACTGGAGACAACAGCATCAGGCTGAAGTGTGTTTAAGGTCACAGTCTAAGGGAACCCAGTTCTGTTGCTCATGATGTGACTTCTCTTCAGAGGTACAGGACTTCTGGCACATGCTGTTCTTCCTGATTTCTGTGAACCTGGCCCTGCAGCAGGGTAAGCATTTCCATCACGACACCAAGTGCTTTAGCTCTCGCTAGCTTCAGTTAGAAATAGGACAAGAAGCACCTGGCTTGATCACTCCCTTAAATTCAACTGCAAAACAGTAAATGCTTAAACACTTTTTTTTTTTTTTTCCAACAGACTTCAGGAAACACATGTGGGACCAAATTCTGCCCTCCTTTGAACTGATGAAAATCTGGATGTGCACGTTGATGAACACAGAGCCACTCCAGGTTCATTCCAGTGTGACTGAAGGGGAAATCTGGACCACAGCTTCTTTGTATGAACACAAAATGAAAAGCAACCACAGCTTTCCTCAGCTTAACAATACTCCCGTTTTGCAGGATGTTCTGAAACAACTAGAATAGCTACCACCCACTCAAAAAAAAGAAAGTAAATACATAACAAAAACGAAACTGCTATTTTGAGACGCCTCTTTACGTAGGCTTTCAGTTCAGACCAACAGCTCAGTACCTAAATTTGATCTCTGAGTGAACTCTGTAGAAAAGATACAAGTAGTTAAGAAAACACAATTCTTTTTCTGTTGGGGTTTTTTTTTTTTTTTCTGTTGGGGAAAGGGTTGATAAAATATTACCAAAAAAGAGCAAACATAGTGCTCTGATGTTAAGTTTCGGAGTCAGTCCTTGGAATCTAAACATCTTGCTAGAAACATGCCTTTCTCATACTTCTTTGACTCTTAGGTCGTGCTCTAACCTCAAATCAACGCCAGTTCAGCTATCAGTGATAAAAACATTGTAAACCATACAGACAGCAGTTCCTATTACTAAAGAGGCCCTACTCTTCCTGCTGTTAGATGCTATTTTTAGTTGCTTATGTCTAATCACTCAATCATTCATGCCTAAGTCGTCTTTTTATGTCAAGAACCTACTTAACACAGTTTTTGTTTGTTTTATTAACTTTGCCATTTTATTTGAATGCTATTTCCCAAAGATTCTTGGGGAGGAAAAAAATATGGGTTTTGCTTACATTTCTTGGTTATAAGAACAACATCTAGCAATTCTTTTGCCTCAGTGCTCTTGAGCAGAGCTAAGAAATTTAACAAAGCATGGCAGAGATGTGCTTTTGGTTGCTTTCTTGATACAGACACCTCCATGGTACCAGGCACTAAATCCCAATTAGACAGCAAGTTTCTGCTGTGCTCTCAGCAAAACCCCTGCTATTCTCGCACTTCAAATTCGTAAGATGAAGGAGAAAACCATCAAACGATGGCTTTATCTTTGCTCCAGCCATTCTCCTGAATGCCACTTGATTACACATACCCAAAGCAGCATGAAAACGCTGCTAGATGCGGCCCCTAACAATATAGCCATGATGTTATAGAATGGTGGGTTGCATCAATTAAGGTGACAAAAATCACTTTTTCACTAATTTAGCTTCTCCTACAGATGTTGCAGTTCCAAATTTCCATGCTACCACAATGCTAGTAATAGCTAAGCAAGCCACTTTAAAATTAAGTCAGATATGGGTGCACCCTAAACCAGAAAGAGGTAAGGAGTGACACGAAGAGAGGCTGCTAGAGCCAAAGGCAGCTAAGAGGCAGCAGTGAGGAGAAAAGTAGCAAGTGACAAGTTTGGGGGCAGGGAGGGAAAGGGAGAAGAGGGGATCCCCAAGAAGTGGAGGATCTGAGTTAGAGGAAAGGAAAGGTTAGGTGCTGTGGGGAAGAGGGAGCAGAGAGATAAAGGGATGTGTTATGCAAGCAACCGAGGTTGCAACAGGGAACAGAGTCAAAACTGTCTACAACTAATAGGAAACACTCCCCTGCAGAAGCTGGGATGTAACTCAGGAGTACAGCCCTTGCATTCCCCCAGCAGCAGAAAACAGCTGTATGTCTTGTCTGTGTCTCATCTCCTTCTGATATCTGGTCTACATACACATGTACTACTGCCACCACTGATGGCATGCCATTAGAGCTGAGAGTTCAAGAACCCTGCACACTGGATCAAAGTGCCCAGATCTTCTCGATGCTGTTGAAACCAGTGGTTTTTTGGGGGTTTTTTTTGAAAAACAGCATAGAGCATTATCAACTTCTTCCTTCTTTGTCTTTTCAAGTTAAGAAACAACATCACAGAACTGCGATAAAAGGATTACAGTGTACTGAAGTTATGAAATCAAGCCCTCAAATGTTAGACAATGAAAAAATTAAGGTTGCCTTTTTAACCTCTGTTCAGCTCCTTGACTGTAGGCATTTGGATGTATTCTGCAATTATACTATCACATGTAAATCTTTTTCAGTTACCCCTGTCTCATCTAGAAACCTGGATAGGTTCTACTTTGGGAACACATCAGGGTGGTGAAATGACAGAAATACTGTGCAAAGCATCCCCACCAGAAATTTTATGCAACCTGGAAGCTGTGAATTAAACATGTATTTGTGACCAGAGAGAGGATGAAATCACAGTCAAGTAGCCTGAAAGCCACACGGGAGAACTAGATGCTATCCCAATCCCTGCTATAAAGATATTCCATGCTATCACACAAGAGACTGAAATTTATTACTATTAGTTTCTAAGTATACATCCTCACTTTCTCAGTTTCCAAGATCTGCCAATGTGCTGAATGCTCACAGCTGGAACTGGAACCAACTGGTCATCTTTCCTGAATATATAATGGAAAAAAATCTTGAATATTCTGGGAAAGCAGAACTTCAGTCTCTCAGTGTTTTAAACGCAACTTTTTTGCAATACTACAGTACAAAACATACTACAGTACAAAATAAACACTAGAAATAAAATAATAAGTTTAAGAATGTCAGTGCAACCCCTTGAGACAGACACAAGCAGCCGCGAAATGCATTTCACTTGCTCTAAACCAGGAAAGCCATAACTCTCTTTGTCTTGTAACAGATGTGAACCCAAGTCCATTCAAGCCAAGAGGTCTGGATCAAGCTAGTATGGCTCCACTTTTACACGGGTAGAGCCAATGGCTTAAATCAAGTACAGACAACACTGAGAGGTTTTATTTCCTTCCCTGCATATAAACACAGAGAACTTCTGATACCATTGGAGTATATTTTAGACTTAAGAAGTGGAAACTGCATGCTGTCAGTGCATTGTTATTTTTTCCAATAAAGCAAAACAGCAGAATTATCCAAATCTACAAGGTCACGTCTAAGAAAGCTGAGAAAAATTACATATGGTTTTAAGCAAAAGCAAAACAAAAAGCTGACAAAAATTTGGGGATAGTCCTTAAAATGTTGTCTTATCTTTGAAAAAAAAAAAACCTAAACCAGTAGTTCAAGTAGTTTTGAACCTCACGAGCTTGTTGCCCATTTACATAAGAGCAGGGCTGGACAAGGAGTTGGTCACACAGCAGGAGACCAACGTTTGGTGTACAGAACAGAGCAACCAACTCTTCGACTACAAGAAAATTCGTTCCTTTCCCCATGTTTTGCACCTGCCCTTCATGTCTTTGCTGATTTGGCACTTAGTTCTCAAAATGTGTCATTCACATTCCAGTTTGAAACTTCAGCAATGTGTTCACAAACTACGAAGGCAACCGGGAAGTTACATGTCTGGTAAGGCAAAGTCCCCAAGGACTTAGAACATGCATCGATTGATCATTTGATTGTTAAAAAAAAAAATAAAAAAAACCAGTTACTGACCTCTAAACTTCTTTGGAGGATTAGCAAGGTCACCAGCCTCTGGCTGAACCACACACCGGTCATCCACTAACCTAGAGAAACAAAAGTTATTACAGTTACTAAAACATGCATTAGACATCAGTGTATATAAATGCAGAGATATATCTGTCGCACCATAGATACAGAAGCTTACACATTTCTCCAGTTTAATTCAAAAAACACCTTAGAAACTCTATTATCCAGTTACTAAGCATAACCAAGAAAAGAAAACTCCACATTTTCATTCAAGGAGGATTTTTTCTATTGCACTAAATTATGGCCTATGTTTCAGATCCCACTTCACTTAAATCCAGTTACAGTCTCTTTTGTTACACTGCGTACATTGATGTTACATGTAAAACTCTGGTTTTCTTTTGTTACAGCCCATTAACCCTGAATCAGAAACAGTGCGGTTTTTTCTGCAGCTGTCAGATTTTCACAGCCATTGCCCTAGGGCATAATCCAAAATTCATCAAAATCAACAGAGAGACTCTGAGCCACTTAAATGAGCCCTGGAAAAAGACCTCAAAGAAAAACGTTAGGAAAGCAGACTTGTACATGATACAAGAAAGGACATTCAAAGCACTGTGGGTTAGCTTAGCCCTACACTTACAAGCTGTCCCGTGCGTGCAGATTCCTGCTTCCACACTGAGGACTTTTAAGGGGATGCACAGTAAGCAGCCTTCACGTGGGCACCAGAGTGTATGTGGATCTGCTTACACGATCAGGACATGCAGGGTGGTTTCTCCAGAGATTTGCTGGTTTATAACACTGTTTTATCTGGAATTTGAATCTGGAATCCAATAAAACACCTTGGATTTTAGTCTTTAAACATTCTGCTATTCTTCTTCACCATTTCCAATTTTTTTCCTCTGAGGAGGCATGTGGAATTAAGACTCAGATCCAATCATAACTCATAGGATCGCATTTTCCTTTGCTAAAATGAATAAGCATTTATTTAATCCACAGCAGAAAATCTAAATAACAAATCAAATAGATTTCTCACAATATTTTAGAAGTTAAATAAACAATAAAATTCAAAAATATAAATTGTTAATCTTATCACAGAACTTGCTAAACATAAATTCAGCTTCCTTTCAGGAAGCATCCTGTAAATAATCTGCCTGTTTCAAACAATTATTCAGGAAAAATCATGCTTAAGGACACACTACTGCCCTGCCACTTCCCAACATCAGTCTTAGCAGCATTTTCTGTGGGAAATTGCCAGAAAAATCACAACTTGTGTTCAGCCAAATTACACAATAGATGCATTCAGTTTTCACTCAAGTTAGTGAAGGCTTTGCATCTAATCACAAGCACAGCAAGACCGACCCCCCAGCACACCCATGAATTTTCTACCTCTTGCAAGCTGACTGCTGACAACCTACCTGCTGTGGTTGCAGCTCCCAGAAGCAAAAGCGAAAACAACAAAGAATTTTAAGTCAGCAGCCCGGATCTCGTAGCATACTTGGATGCAAATGTGAGGTGTCAGTGAGGAAGGAGAATTGAAGTAACAGTTTCAGGACCAGGCAGGGGACCTGTCATGGCCTTATGGAGTTGAGTTTTTCACAGTCTAGGTTAGGCCAGGCTTAACAAGAACAAAGAGAGGTTTGGAAAGCAGGACTTAGGAACAGTCAGTCCTGCAAGATGCCTTCTGTCTATGATCTAATAGGCCAAAGCTTCCTATAAACAGCACCTAAAACCTGGAGTCACAGAAGAAACAGGGCTGGAAAGGACTACCTTAACAGAAGCTTTGCCAAAGGATTTTAATGCAAAGAAGTACTTCCCCCTCAACAAAATCCCTCAAAGGCTTTCTGAATGAACCCACAAGGTTTGACCCTTAAGCACCACCAGGATGGAGGACAGTACGTTGGAAGCTGAGTATAATTCACAAAGAACATCTTGTGTTCCTTGGTGATAACTTGTGCACCCTCGTGACAACTACAGCCGTGGATGAAACACAAAACTTTCATCATGGTGCCATATCGCCGTAAAAAGAGCCACATGAAAACAAGATGTTGGTGCTGAGGAAGACAAGATTCTGCACACTCTGTGAGCCAGTTAGGAGCAGTGTTCAAACATGTTAGACTTCCAAGGCTCAGAAATTAGGCATTAAACAATTAATATCAACCACTTCCATATAAGCATTCTCTAAAGGCACAAAGGTAAGGATCATAAATTAGTTCTGCAGCCATTAGGAACCAAAGACATCAGACAAGCTAAAGAAGAAAGGAACTGCTGCTACTCCTATCCTATAGACACGAAATGACAGCACAGAAAGATTAATTGACATGTGGCAGGACAGTGGTATGACATACCAGAAACAACATCTGAGTCCTTGCCCAGTGCCTCAGCTTCTGACACCTTTGTTGCTTACAAAGTATCTTACTAAACAGGACAAAAATCTGAATAAAGTATTCCTTTCCCTATATAGCAGTCTTCCAACAATTTAATCCCCAAAATTTCTGTATAATGACATTCATCCTGTATCCAGCAGTATGTCCTTCAAAGAGTTCAGTAGCTACTTGTTTGCTGTGGAGGTGCTTGTTACGGTACCGCAGTGAAAGCCGAGTTGCACATTGCACATGATGCAAGACTTCAGCCTGTTCTGTAGACTGGAACAGAACAAGTTCTTCAAACGCAGACCACTTCCTCTAATACACAATTCAAAATATTCAAATCCCATTTTTTATACTGAGCCAAAAGGCAGCTGTTGGTTTGTCACAGAGGCCTGCTAGGTGGCTGCGTTAAACAACCAGTAATGCATAACCATTTGAGATGTGTGAAACTGAACAACAGGCTTGACTACAAAAAGTCCTGGGCACCTGCAGCTTCTGTCAGGTCACAGCACAGCATGTTTTAAGATCACTCGCTTGCTGGTTTGCATAGGAGGCCAAAGTGCACCAGACAAGCCTTTTCTGATAAAGGCAGAATTTACTGTACTATACTGACAAATGTGCTAGCTATTTAAATACTGATCTAAATTATTATGCCAATAGTCAAGCCACTGTATCATCAAAGAAGCTTAGGCAAACTTCAGAGGGTTTAATTCTTCAGCTGGACTGCAGACAACACTGCTTTGTGCCCTCCGTTGTCATTCAGTACCTGGCAGACACAACATGACTGCATTTCAGTTTTTCACAGGTTGGCGGCATACAAATGACAAAGGAGTTCACTGCACAGGTATGATATGATTTTCACTTGTGCAAGTTCTTCCCTGAACACAAATATCCGGTTTATGCTCAATGTCTCTAAGCAATTGTTGCACTGCTATTGTAATTAAGTTGTAGTTCACTGGTGCCAAAGATACATCATCAGAACAGTCAAAATAATAATGACGGCCCTGGACTTTATGCATACCCCTTTGTATTAAGTAATTGCAGAATTAGGGTCTGAAAGTAACAACATTCACGGCATTGTCTGTCTTAAATGCAAAGTTATTCTCCCACTGAAGCCAGCGAGTTTTTCCACTTGCTGCAGGGGAAGCAAGGGCCATTCCTCACCATGCCACCACATGCAGCCAACCTCAGAGACTAGCAGGTACTTAAGCCACTAAGACCTCACGCTACAGTGTACAAAGCCACATCAAACAAGAATTGAAACTATCTAAAGCAATGCCTAGGAGTCAAGGTGTGCTGCTCAGCAGAGGCAGAGGAAAAAAGTGGGCAGCTGCCAACTCTCTGTTAGCATTAGCCAGGGTAGTGCACTGTATCACGTGAAGTGGTCAAAACATGAACTTCTACAGATTCCTGCACCTATCTTCCTCTTTCTTAATTTTCCACCATCATTTGGCAGGGTTAAATCTGTCCTTTCTCACCACTTGCAAAGCCAAACATGTATAAGCATTCAATTTAGTAATATCTTGCAGCAACGAATTCCGTGTACAAGGTGGCATCTGTATAAACGTATTTACAAGCAGTTTCAAATATAGTGCCTCTCATTTTTGTTGTTTCAGTAACAAAAGGACAGGATCAACTTCTCCCAATACTATTCATAATTTTTATTCAAATTTGCCTAACATAAACAAATTCAAACTTCCCATACAGCTTCTAACATCACCCTGCTCCCTGGGCACTAGGCAGAAGCAGGGAAGCAATAACTTGCAGTAATTCCCAATATATCTTTCTACTGGGTAAAGCAGCAGCCTTTGTAGGGACTTTCACCGAAAGAAAACACAGACTGAGTCTGTGAAGAAGCAGTGGGGACTCACTGTGTGTTTGGGAACACAGGAGGAAGGATGCACCAATGGGAGGAGCAGGACTAAGTGGTAGCAGTATAACTGATAAGGCAGGTATGTTGGCAGAAAAGACTAATGGTACCTGGGTTTACAGGTATGAATCATACATGCTGGATGAGTCTTCATGTCCTCCAAGCTCCTCTGATTACCTAACACAGGCTAAAGGTAAATACACCAAAGGTTTCTAGGAACTTGCAGATGTAGTATGAGGGTCAAGGAATAGTTGTATAGCAATAAGTCTAGAAAAACTGTTCACAATGATGAGTTATTTTAAATTTACTACTGAGATACAGTTGCATTCTGGAAGAATAAAAACAAATGTAAAAAACAAAACAGAAAAGGAATGATGATGAATTTCATTAATTTTAGGGCTCTCAATGTAAGATGTTTTTCAGATTGTCCAAGAAAGTTGTCCAGCCACGTAATACTCATTTATCCTAGCTTTGTGCCTTCAATTTTAAAAAATATCATCCTGAAATGTATTTTGTCTCTTCCTATCAACAGAGACTTCCACTTTTCATAGCAAATATTATTAAGCAAAGCAAACAAACACACAAGACAAAGCATACAAGTACACAGGCTTTCTCATACACTTACTACACTACATGTATGTGTGTGTGCAACTTGTTAAAAAAATACAAGACCCAGCTACTGATGCCTAACTCTTATAATACATTGGGATAAGCAGAACTCAGCTTGGTACTCTTCACACATGTCGAATATTTTACTCCTCAAAAAGCTGAAAAAACTAAGCTAGAAGCAATGTCTTCAATCTAAGACATTCTCTCAGTTGCTCAGCTTTTACTCTCTTAATGG